CGTGATGCTCTATCACATGCACTATTTAAAAAAAAATCGATAAATTTGACAGAAATCAACTTTTTTTGGGTGGGGGGTGGGCCTTAACAGACTTTCTAGTAATAAAATTTATTTAATTATTCACTATAGCCATTAGTATGTGATATTGAGGTCTGAAGACAATACTTTTGAAGAACGAATGTATAGAAAATCGAATAGATCATAAAAGTTGTTGATCATTGAGACAAAATTTATCTTCCGAAATTAAGTATTATTATGATTAAACTTACGCAAGAACATCTGAACAAACAAGAATTTGAATTTGTCCATGTTCAAACATATTTAATCGTGTTTGAATTTTCTTAGATGCTAAATTTCTTGATATATGATTAACTTTAATATCATCAGGTAAAAGTAATTTAAGTAAAGTACTTAAACGATCAACATCTTTTTTTGAATGAACAAATATCATAATTCGTTCTGAATGTAATTGATTTTTTATAAGATAAGCAACAATTAATGGTTTATATGTTATGGAACAAACAATAAAATTTTCACGTAATGTTGAAGGCATTATAATCGATTTAGATGATGATAATGATGAGAAAAGAACAGGATGAAAAAGATTTAATTGTTGTAATATTTCAGGATTATGTGTTAATGTTGCGGAAAAAAGTAATTTTTGATACGTTTTACGATTAGATGATGATTGACTAAGCATATATGGTTGAAAATCATTTTTTAAATGACTTGATAAACCAACAGCATTATCAAGAATATTTAACCAATCTTGTTTGAATTCATCTATAATTCGATCAGCTTCATCAATAACAAGATAACGAAGATGTATTAAAGAAAATCCTGGTGTTCGACTAATATGTTCAACAAGGCGGCCCGGTGTACAAACAATAATATCAATAGATGATATCCAATCTTTATAACAAAAGAAAACAAATAAATAAATGATTTTTTTTTCTGTGGAACTCGCAAGGTTGTTTTATTTTTTCAAAGAAAAATATAGTGAGTGTAAATTTTATTTTTATCCAGATAAAAATTAACATTCAAAATGAGTAGTGATCATGATTTATCCTTGGAGTATGCTGACTAGACTTCTACGTGACCACGATTTTTCAGTCACGTCACGTCACGGTCACGGGGATTTTGGATTACTACCTTGATTTTTGTGCTACAAAATAAAGATTTAAATTGATTTCGTAGATTTCTTCTGTAATAAAACAAAGAAACCTCGTAAATCAATT